TCTATCATTTCAAAACAACAATAAACCAAATTTTAGAATAACCTGAGTGACATCACTTGTAACTCAGAAGTATCCTTAACGCGATGCAACACCCTGTGTATAAAGGAGTAAAATATTTCGTTTCTAATCTGTTATCGCGTCCTACCACCTCACTGCAAAATTTTCTGTCGTAATGCAGAGTAAATGTTATTTTTAGGGATGCAGTTATTTAAAAATGGAATTTTAATAATCATGTAAGCATGATTAATTCTCTCGAACCCAAGAAATTGATTAAAATCAACATAAAGCATTCCCACTACGCGACTAAGTTCCTGAGTCGAGTAAAAACTTTCTGCTCTGAAGAATGACCTCAGTTCCACACACTGTCCTCCCCAGAGACCTGCGATTAATCTTCCAATTGGCGTCTCTTCTCTCTTCATCTTCCTGATCATTCCACCGAATGATCCGCTGAATGATCTGCATTGAAAAACGCGGGGCGCAATCGCGCAGTGAAAAAAAATCAGCAAAATTCTGGAAAACCCTTGTATTTCATACGCTTCGAGAAAAAACTCCACTACTCATTTTCCCAGCCAACAAAAGCATATTGGCCCACATCATCACTGTCAATTGAACCCCACAAATATCACTGATTGAACCAACCCGCAACAAGTGAATTTACCGAGAGGCATAAAACCCTTCGCGAGGGGGAATAAAAGTCGCAATTGAAATTGGTGAAATCAAACGACTAGATTCAAAGCTATCAGTAAAACCGGACGAATGGTTACACCCTCCCTACAGTTGCTGCCAGAATCATGACGAGTAAACGGTAGTTAGCTGGTACGATAGAAAAATCAACGTCAAAAACCTCGAATTGGAGCGAAAAATACATCTCCACTGGACGGTCCCCAGAAATTGTCTAAAAACCCAATCAGCATGGAAAATATTTTCCCAAACGTGATATTTGCTGCTTGGCCCGTCCATCGAAAGAGAATAGGGTCAATGGATTTCATTCCTCGAACCCCTCAATTATTTTCCCCGAGCTACGTAGATTCCTTATCTGGCAGCCAGAATAGTTGGAACCATTAATAATTCCTTCCAGGTCGATGTACGACTGAATTGGTCCATGAATACTTCGCATTATTTCACGAAATGGCAATTCAATATTACATTATTCTTGTCGTCAAATTTCCTGATGTACAGTAGATTCATTTATTTATTTATTTTTTATTCACATTGCATTTTTACTACCATTACGGTTTTATAAATTGAGAAAAACACAATTGTAGTATCTTTTTTTTTCTCGTTATTTTACATCGCTTCGATCCGGTTAGGGTATACTCCGATGATGATCAAGACTTTGAATGGTTAGATCGCACCATTCTACCCGGCCGGGATTTGAACTCAGAACCTTTCGCATATGAGGCAACGAGCTTACCCACTGCGCCAAGCCACCGGGCACAAATTCTAATATCTGGAAAATTGTTATTCCACATATTTTTCCGAAAATTTTGAAAAAAAATCATTCGTAGCTCAAATAAAAACAATTTTTTTTTGCACTAATTCCTCGTTTTCAGATCTATATAATCGATCTTCAACGTATGAAGAGTCTCACTCCAATAACCCACTACTTTTAAAACTCACAGGAGTCTCCCCTTAACTGTTACCGCGATTCGCTAATAGTTAACGAATCGTGGTAATAGTTAAAAAGTCTCGTTTGGTTCCACTAAACCGTTCTATCAGTGCACTATCCGTATGACCACCATTGTCGTCCTCCCAGCAGATTTATTTTTAGCCATTTTTTTTTTTAATATAATAGCCACCCATAACCGGATGAATCAAACCTCTCGGTGACAAACAGTAGAGTGTCTCACTGTACAATTCGCTCTATCTGTTGGAGTGGTGTTGGGAGAATGAGATTGTATCGCACTGTCGAATTTCAGGAACAAGTTTCGGTTGTAATTCCAACAATTTCGTAGCACTCCAGCTCTCGTTTCCCCCCATCAAATTGCAGACTGCACCAATACAAAGGATAACAATGAATTTCACTCAATTGTAAATATGATACCGTTGACACAGCATTGTGTTACAGATGCAAAATTTCATTCCACACATTCTTGAGTGAAACAATGCAGAACACTATCCAGCAGTATCGTAAAACCGCCCAGAAGCATCCAAAAAGTTCATGAGGATTAATGAAGTTTGCTGGAATTTCCGAGGATTTCTCTCGCGACGCTTTCTCACACACTCGAAGTGACGTAGTTTTTTGCGGGGTCCAGGGGAGTATACCCTCCCAAACTTTTCCACGTCAGGTTATCGATTTCCTTAGTGGAGAACGCTCGAAACTTTACTTGAGATTTTTTTTACTCCTCGTCTTATCGTGTTGCTCTTTTCATCATTTCTTTTTTTGGCCTCTCTGTGGCATTCTCTTTTTGTTTGTGATGTATGGTGCACCGCAGGCAGCCGTTGAGATGCCTTGGTTTATTGAAAATATGCTGGTTGCTCGCAACTTTCATTTACAGATGGTAATTGAAAAGTTTTGATGCATTTTTCCTGTTGATCGGATATTAACTGTGGTTTCAGGGGGAAGTATTCGGGAGAATGTACACGAGATATTAATTACTTGCAGGACTGGTTCTTGCATGTTTTCGCGCTTCTTCGGAAATAATTATTCCTTGGAGAAATGAAGGTAATGGACACTTAATGATTAACACTCGGCTGTAAGCGCCGTGCCGCGCCGCACCAGCATAAATCGACATAATGATAAAGTTCAAAGATCTAGGAAAAATCTGAAAGAAATCAATAGTGATCTAGATCGTATACTTGAAGAAGTTCCGTGAGATTTATGTTCAATGTTACCCTCAATTATACATTCAATCTCAAAGTTTCCATGTTTTTCTGAAAATTCGCCTTATCCACGGTACACGGCCCGGAGTTTCGGACAAAAAATTTGAAAATCTAACTACTTATGATATTTTATGCGGATATTTTGATTGCACTGAGAAAAAAAATATTTTTGTCAAATATTCATTTATTGGAGAGAAGTATTTCTTTTTTCAAAATCGTATTTCTCCAATCGAGGAATTCCCAGGCGAGCCTGATTAGGTTTCAATTATAACAATCATCGTGCTTTAAAGGATTATGTTCCACATGACCTTGGAAAGACTCCCCTAATGATTATTCACTTTTCCTAAATTTCGTATTTTCTAGAGAGAAGAATTTCGATGAATTTTTTAATGTTGATAATTATTGAAGGAGGTCACTCAAGGTCATAACCAACAGGTTCATCTTCTAGAGCAATATAATTGACATAATTAAACCTAATTAGAATTGCCTGAGAATGGCTCGAATGGAGAAAACCGGTGTTGAAAAAATTAATTCTTCTCTCAAGTAAATGGATATTTGGCAAAAATATTTTTTTTTCTCAGTGTGATAAGGCGTCTAGGCTCTTCAAAATGAGCTGTCAAATTTTTTCCAATTTTTCTCAGGCTNAGCAATATAATTGACATAATTAAACCTAATGAGAATTACCTGAGAATGGCTCGAATGGAGAAAACCGGTGTTGAAAAAATTAATTCTTCTCTCAAGTAAATGGATATTTGGCAAAAATATTTTTTTTTCTCAGTGTGATAAGGCGTCTAGGCTCTTCAAAATGAGCTGTCAAATTTTTTCCAATTTTTCTCAGGCTTTACTGCAGTGTAAAGCAGTGCAGGCGAGTCATTCCCAGGCGAGCCTGATTAAGTTTCGATTATAACAATCATCGTGCTTTAAAGGATGATTATGTTCCACATGACCTTGGAGGGACTCCCCTAATGATTATTCATTTTTCCTAAATTTCGTATTTTCTAAAGAGAAGAATTTCGATCTATTTTTTAATGTTGATAATTATTGAAGGAGGTCACTCAAGGTCATGACCAACAGGTTCATCTTCTAGAGCAATATAATTGACATAATTAAACCTAATGAGAATTACCTGAGAATGGCTCGAATGGAGAAAACCGGTGTTGAAAAAATTAATTCTTCTCTCAAGTAAATGGATATTTGGCAAAAATATTTTTTTTTCTCAGTGTGATAAGGCGTCTAGGCTCTTTAAAATGAGGTGTCAGATTTTTTCAAATTTTTCTGAGGCTTTACTGCAGTGTAATTTAAAAAATCGGTAAAAGTGCGGCGCGGCGCTCATAGCGCGACCAACGAAGTGTTCCTTCTTACCTGACTAGGCTCAAGAGATGGGATATTTGGCGCAAAAAAGTAGCTTTGCGATATTATGATATTTCTCTCAGTGTAATGAATACATCCACAAAACATGATGATCGGACCACCAACTTTCAAGAGCACCATCCAGAACTTGTAAAATTAAATCTGCGAAACATGTGTCACTGCAGGTGTCACTTTCATAAAAGATATGGAATAAAATGAAATAAAAGTGGAGCCTCTAGCCATTGAAAAGTCATTAGACCCTCGGAGTGTCCTCGAAAATTGTCGAGAACTTTTCCACCCCCTTCCTCAAACGCCCTACATTCGTTCCCTCATCACAAACCCGATGATTCGTGAATTCTCTTGGGGTGTACGATTGAGTTCATAAAAATGACGTATCGGTGTTATCGACCCTTGGCATATTTGAACGTATGGAATGTCATACAGTGATCCAAAAAGCCAACGAAATCGGATATGCCGTGATGGGCGCGGGTGAGCATGGAAAAGAAGAAGAGGGAGGGAAAAAACTGTTGGTGAAGGGAAAAAAAGAAAATCAACGTAAATCCAGAGGCGAGAGGAGTGAATTGAGGAGGTGCTCCAGAGACCCGTATCAATCATTTTGATTCATGCGGGATAGGGCCTGCCGCGAGGCTGGGGGATTATCCTGTCGGATATCCGGAGGAAATGATGCCCATGCCACTCGCCCATTGGCTCAGAGACATACTCTCCTTTGCTTTTGGCATAACTCGCAAAGCGAAAAACTAATTTCGGGGGTCCCTCCCTCATTTATTTTTCCCGTATTGATTTCTCTTCTCTTATTTTTGTTGCAGACTGATTACAATCGACATTTGGAGCAGCTTATTTCGGATGCTGAGGATCTATTGATCACATCGATAACGGAGAATGTGGAGAGTAATCGCAAGGACATTTTCGCCGATCTCCATGGCCAATTGGAAGTTGTTAAAGGATTATCCTGTGGTAAGGGAATTAAGTTCAGGATTGTTGAAATATTCATCGGGTTTATTGATAAATACGCGAACAGTTTGAATGCATCATGGCTGCGTTCACTCCACGCGAAGGGATGATAAACGATCTGGTTTCTGAGTTTGCATTAAATTTCCAAGAATTGAGAGGTTTTCCTTCTTGCTCCTATTTCTTTTGAGTGAATTATTATTGAGTCGTATCACTGGTGGGTTTTTCAATTCTCTGAGGGCTGGGGGACCGGATGAAGACGACATTTCAGACAGTTGGAATCTATAAGAAACGATGAAAATTCGGGGAGAAGAATTGGATGGTAATTTTTCAATGCCGATTCGGTTTCATTTCCCAGTCTCCACCAAGTTCCAGCAATTTCAGGGTAATGGGAGTGAAGTTGGAAATTCCCGTCTTGTGTCTACCATAAAACATGTTATACAGGAGTGGAAAACTTTTTTTTATGGGAAAAAAGTGTTCCCGCGAATAGATTAGGCACAGGAAGTTTGTCTTTTTAATGTTTCATAAGAATATAAAATACATCTGCAGTTTCTGGGAGTATTTGTATGGTGATAAAACAAATAATTTATTTACCAAGTTTTTTTGATTGCGAAACTTTCAGACGAGAGTCTCCCCAGGACGATGGCCGCGGAGATCGATCTCTTTTTGCAGCGTATTGAAGAACTTTTGAAGCTGACTTCAGCGATGCAAGGACTCGAATCAACACGAAACACTGATCTGACTGAAATCGAGAATAAACTGGCAAATCTCGCTGCACTTGTGAAGGAAGATAAATGTTTGAATGCCGGTGGCAAGTTTGAATGGATCGACAGTGTGTTGGTGAAGGTAAAATTAAAATGTTCCGTTATTTTTCAAAAAAAATTTGATCAATCCAGCCATTCAGAATGAATGGATCAAGAAATATGGAAGTAGTTTCGCAAAAATTCTGAATCAAATATTCTTTTGTCCATGAATATGGACTTTTCGTGTATCTCAGCCACGAGAGCATTGATTTTTTAATAGAATTGGAGTCGACACAAACAAAAAAGTATAGAATGGAAAAGAGGAAAAGTTATCGGGTGAGAGCTTTCATTGTTAAGTGCTCGTAAATGGACAGGGTATTTTCATTCATTATATTCGAGAATTTGCGTTAATTCTACATTTTCACGTACATGACCCGTCGCATGACTGCGCAATCAATGGAAGCCTGAGGTGTTGATTCCATTAGAACGAACATTAACACCTCTCACAGCTGTTATATTAATCACAAATGAAACGGCTCGTCCGTTTGAGTATTTTCAGATCAATTGGCCTGATAAAATAGTAGTTTGTTATTGTAGGGGTGAGGCAGGATGAATGAACTCCAGTGTGCGTTCTTCAGAGATATCTCGGATTCTAAGGGAGAGAGATCTCCCCCAAAGACCTTTATCGTAGTCTGCCCTACAAAGGAGGTCCTTATGAAGATTGTCCCATCTCCCTTTTGTCTCGAGACGTTCTCCAAAAATCATATGAATGTAAAATTGACGTTTCGTTTTCTTTCACCATCGCATTATTCAAGATATTCCAGTCCCCCCAGAAATATAAACATTAAAAAAAAACAGAAAGCAAAACAAAAAACAAGTGGAAAATTGCTCTTGTATTGCATATAGTGTAGTTATTTTTGGTATAATTCAGTGATTATTGCATTTTATTAAATTGAATAAGATTTCTTTTCAACTAATTTTGTCAGATTTTCAACTCAGTTAAATGTTATCCTAATTATTCTTAGTATCCCTTTCTTCTATACAACCGATTGTTTTTTGCAGTTCTATCTCTCCCCTCAGCCCTTCGATAAAATGTTAATAGAAAAATTTTATTTACACATACTTGAATGAATTTGAAACATCACATTTGAAGACACCATCAGAAAGCTCACTTTCGGGGAAATTCATGAAAAATTCGAAATTTTCAACATTCATCATAAAAATTAAATCAACCAATATAGCTATCGTAATCTTTTAACTTCGACTTAATGGGATTAAAGGAAACATTCCAAGCTATGATTGAATTCATTTGAAGCACGATATTCAAAGATATCCCCGCAATTCTGCTTTTCGAAAAATACAAAATTTTTGCAAATTTTCAGATAAATGAAAATAACGATTATTGCTGTTGCCTTCATCTTTGAGCTCGATTAAAAGGACATTCTAACAAATTTGTTAAGCCATCATTCAATCAATTCAGAGCATTTTTTTTTAGGTATCGTGGGACCACCAGTTTTCGAAAGAAATCTAAAATTGAGAAAACTAATCGTTGAATTAAATTTTAATTAATGACGATCGATAGAGCTCAACAATACCTACATTTAAAAGAAAAGATTCAATACTATCCATTCATTGGCAAACAATTGAAGAAAAATTTTGTTACATACGTACACACGAGGTATAAAAATTGCATTTTCGGGCTTTTTCGATCATACCGGGTCGATATAACGCAAAAAATCCAAAACTTAAATTTGAACGATTATATAGCTTCCCTTCAGAAGCAAAAAAGAAAATAAAAATTTGAGTATGCATCATATGAAGACATTTAGATAGATTAGGTAATCTAGTAATTTTATAATATAAGCAATATAAATAATCCTTTTCGTCATGAGTATTATTTTGAACTATTCATTCTATTAATTTCATTATTATACTTTATGTTTATTTAATTTGATCCTGTAATTGGCCGTGTGCTGTTGGATTCGTATGACATAAAAATGAAATGAAATGAAATTCCTCCTATATTATTTCCTCCCATGAAATATTGAAACATGATGTTTCTAGTGTCTACGAGATGGCACATGGCTCCTTGTGGACCAAGTAAACCTGTGCAGTCCAGCAGTCCTCGACAGACTGAATGGCCTCCTCGAGCCGAATGGAGTTCTCACGATCGGTGAACGAGGTACCGACTCATCTGGCAACGTCCACACCATAAAACCACATCCCAATTTCCGTCTCTTCCTCACCATGGATCCCAACTACGGCGAGATATCAAGGTACTCTTTCATGCTCAATCTCATAACTATTCACAACTTTTTTTCTCACGTACTCTCATGATGCGAGTGCGAAAAAGTGTACTTCTTCTTTACTTGTATTAAAATACACCGACATAGTTTCGTAGGAATCAAACTGTGAATTTGGTCATTTTCAATCCTGAAATTTGTCAATTAATGTTGCTCTGCCCTTACGAGAAATTTGAAGCTCATTAAAAACTGCGAAGAATTTTCAGAAAACTTGATTAGATTCGGAATCGTCATTTTTTTCTCAGTTTCATGATCTTTTGGGTTTTTCCAAGAAAAAAAGGTGGAAAATCAGGATTTAACACAGCGTTTTATGCGAAAATTAGCATTTCCGCATTTCAGTGAAGAAGTCGATCAGATTTTTGATACTTCATAGAAAATGATCGACCGGTTCGTAAGCACATCCCTTCTTTATTTATGAAGCGAAAATGTTTTAAAGAAATATTCCTATTTTACACAAAATGTAATTCGGATAATACTAATTAGGGTATGAATTTTTACAAATTTTCTCATTGCAATTTTTAACATTTTTTCTAACAATTCCAAATGGAGAATCATATCTAAACTTCGAAGTTTTTAAATAATAAAATCATTGCAAAATGTTTAGTAACCAACTGTCAAATGAAGCTTGAATGGAAGTTTCGATGTTTAACTGAAAATGTTGAAATTTTAACGGAATAAAATGCTAAAGTATTAGAATATCCCGAAGAATGATTTTTCCTTCACTTTTATTGTAACATTTTCATTCGTCCACTATCGAAAATTGTATACTACCATATAAGAGTAAAAACAATAACTCTGTACTATGAGCACAGAATTGTAAACTACTCTTTTAATATTGTGTATCCTGCAGTACTTTCGATCCTAGTGAAGAAAAATATTAAAACATTATTAATATAAAAAATATTAGTAGTAAACAACTAAAAATGTCAGTTTTTATTATTTGAATCATGAAATCTGGTGTTATCCCTGTGTAATAAAACCCGCAACTTTACTCACTACTAACAATTTATTTCCTTTTTATTTCCTCAGAGCCATGAGGAATCGAGGGGTGGAGATTTACCTTCCAGGACGAAAGGACAACCCTGAATCCAATACTCTGGACATCAAGTCCCAGCTCTACGCTCTGGGGCTTCTGCGAGACAACCACCAAAACGCACTCATCGACATCAATCAAAAGATATTGAGTGCCCACTTGGGAGGAAAACAAATAGTAGGAGACAGTGAACTCCTCCAAGCTGCATCGCTCATCTCGCAGCAAGTGAATCGAGGTTTTCCTGTCAACAATGCATTCAAAACCTCGTGCACCGACGTCTACATTAAATCCAGGAGCATCCACGACCCCACCACCAAACAGACTCTTACCCAGCTGATCGACAGCTCAATAGCTTCCCACAATTTGACTGAAGACAAGCCATCGTACCTCGAATGTTCAGAAATGACCCCCAACATCCAGGACTTCCTGAACAACGCCAGAACGTGCCTGTTGAAGCAGCAAAACACGAATCTCCAGGCCATCTGCAAGAAATACGACGAGTGGTGGGAGACGTCGCACGACGACGACCTCCGAACCGATTTCCTCGATAAAAGCTACTTCCCCACGTGTCCAAGCCCCGTCGAAGCCAATTGTCCAGTTGCAGAAGACGTATTCCTCCATTTCATGATAAACTTCTACGAGCGAGGATGTGTGGACGACTTCCAGTTGAGGCTCGACTTCCTCCTGGAGAGACCATCCACCTCGACCCTCGATATCTACGATCACCTCTGGAACAAATTGAAGGAGTTGAAGAAGATCATCGTGGATACAGGTGACAGATTCCCCAGTCAATCCCTCCCCTGGCACCCCCTGACGTCCCCCTGTGAATTCACCCCTGAGCAGTTCCAGTTGGCCCTCAAAATCTCCTTGATAACTTACATCAAGATATATCTGGCTGAAGCAGACATTCCGGCAGGCTTGGGGCGTGCCTACACTGAGGTAACAGTCGAAGGTTTCTCACGAGCACTACTCGAGGGACTTGTCCCCTATCGTGAGTGCACAGTCCTGGTGATTCTGTTCACTCCAGTCGCTGAGATGTTGAGCCAATGGATGCAGATTTACATTCTTCATGTTCTCGATAATCTCAGCTACAAGAGCTGCATCGATTTTCGAAGGGATCTGTTGAGCCTGAGACGATTCTACGATCAGGGTAAACAGATACTCTACTACAGACGTAGGGACGAGCCTGATGATGAGGATGAGAGGACTGATATCGTCGAGAGGAATCTCCAGGTGCATTACCAGTGGATATTGAAATTTGTGGAGAGAACCCTCGACGAATCCGAGGAGATTGAGAACGCTGAAGTACAACAGACGAGGGATAATCTGAGGGAACTTTTGACTGAACTAACTCTGAATCTCAATTCAGACAACGATGGCTTTAAAAAGCTCACAAGGATCCTTCGAAAGAACATGAAATTTCTGCCTCCATACAAGTCAGCTGAAATAATCACAATTCACAATCGATTCCAGCGAATTATCAGCGAATTTTCACCAGTGGGTGACATACTCTCATCCCCTCCACTCGCCTGGAAGCTGAGATTAATGCTTATCCAAATGAAAGAATGCACAGAGTTACGGGAGAGTTTAATTAAAACTTGGAAGAGCATTTGTATCAGTCAAAATCACGAGGAGGCGAATGGCGTTATATCTGCAGTGGAAAAGGTGTCCACTGACCATAAATTGTCCCTCAGTACTCCCGAGAAAATATCCCAGGCACTGGACTATGTTTTGTCGAGCAGAACAGCGAAGGAATTGAATGAGTCAGCCCTGAAAATTCAACTGTGGCCCATTCACGAGTATCTATTCTTCTTACTGACCAATAAATTGCACAAAATAGCTTGTGACAAAACGATCAAATCGGAGACCCGACCGGTTCGTTGCGATGCGTTATCAAAGTTCATTAGAGTCCCCAGCATACCAATTAATCTGATCGCAGTGCTTAATGCGATTCCCATCAATGAGAGTAGAGTGGAGTATTCACTCGTCTCTGAATTATTCTACCAGCTGAGAAAGTTCAGGGACAATTCACTGGCCTTCAGAACCCCTGAGGCAGTCCTCAACTTCCCTGGAGTCAGTCGTGATGATGCTGATATGATTGAAATGCCCAATGGACAGCATGAGGCTACTCCACATTCCGTCCTGCAACCCACTCTGATCCTTCTCCTATCGAATCTGATCCTCAACAAGACTGACAACAAGCGAGAGACTCCAGTGATCAAAACAGCCAGTTTGGGCTCCTGCAAAGAAAAGATTAATCAACTGAAGCTGCTGAATGAAACCATCTGGAAGAACAGTCTTGCACTCACCTCCAAAGAGTACGAATTCCATGGCAGCGATGTTGCTGCATTGATTGCTTCCGTGATTAATTACTTGAGAGCCATCGACAACATTGGAGGTGATGAATATGCGAGAACAATCATCTGCAGTCCAAGAGTGAATCTTCTGCCTATTGCCTTCAGGTACGAGATGGACTACCTTCGCCCTCTGAAGCTATTGAGGAACTTTATTGAGATTTCAAGGCAACGTACACCAGATACGTACAGTGCCATCGACCTGGGAATGATGTGGAGTCAACTAGGCGCTCACCAGTTGTTCCTATTCTCTGTGCTTGAAGTGATCGACCCAGTGGAGAAATTAGACTTGAAGATTGAGTTCATTGTAGACTGCATTGTGGACCTGGAGAATATGATTTATTCGCTTGAGCGTGATGGTGAGGTTTTGGGCGATCACACAGTGGGAATTCATGATCCAAGGATTGTGGAGGCTCGCAGAGCTCTCGACAAACTGAACATTGAGAAGGATGAATTGCTGGAGAGCAAAGGGTTCAGGGCTCCAAACGCCAAGTACTTTCATCTCAATCAGAAGCTTGAGAGTTTCAGGGAGATCTTTGAGGAGGCAGCTGCAATTGTTATACCAATTCAATCCCTGTATGATGTGCTATCAAGTGAAGGGAACGCACCACGAAGAAGTACACAAGAATTCGTGACAATCGTGAATAATTTGGTCAACATTCTCCAGGGGCATTACAGATCTCTGCACGAATTCTCGTCTCAACTGCGAGAGGAGTTCCTCGCTAATTATCGAGATCTGGTCCAGCCTATACTGATATCAATGGTCCATCTGCAGCACGGAATGAAGATTCTGATTGATGAGGGCCTAAGAATGGTAGCAGAACGACAATTGAGCTTTGATTTGTCGTCCACTGCAGAGAGCTTCCTGTACAGCATCGTCAGATTTCCAACTGTTGGGCATGAACAGGAGAATCTGCTCCATTTGATAGACTTATGCACTTGCAGGAGTACTAGAGAATTCATTGATTCGAGAATCGATGCCATGGAACTAGGGCCAGGACTCGGGATCGTTGAGATCTTCAGACCCCTGAAGAACTCTCTTTCAGAACTTTACAATTATACGAGTCTGACTGGAAGGGTGACACCGCAGATCTGGGAGGTACTCAACCAACTTTCACTGCAAATTGTTTTGATATGGCAGAAGAAGGAGATTGAGAGGGATCGAAGGAGGCAGCAGGAGGACTCTCTGTACAGACACAGAGCACAAACTCATGGGGAAGTCCCAACAGAAGAGGAGGAGATCAACATGGAACTGCGTAGATTATTCCCAACGCATCGTGATGATGATTTTAGGGAGATTGATGAGGCTCAACCGACGTTGGAAGCTAGGGATTCCACAGCTGAGGAGTTTCGAGGACACGAGGAAGAAACGATCTTCGAGCATCTGATAACTGATGAAGATATCCACGAAGTTTATGAGATTCATTCCAAGCTCGTCCAGCACTTTGTTAAAGCTCCATGGCTGGAGGCACCTGGTGACACCCCCAAACGAACCTACATTGAGCCATTGTTGGAGAGATTCAGAACATTTAACACACTCCTTCCCAGTGTTCAATCAGCTCTGCCCTCTGACTTATCCTCGAAACTGTACATGAGCTTCAATATCCTGACGTCAGTGGCTGCCTGCAACAGTCAGGGCGAGAGATTCTACGAGGAGTCCTCATTCAACAGGAAACCCTACGATTTCTACAAGTCACAGAACATCGAAGAGGTGAAGCATTGTCTTCCCATGCTCGATGCCACTTTGAATAGAGTCAATGATCTCCTGAAGGAGTGGCCAGAGCACCCCACTCTCTCCTCCATCCGCACCATCATCACACGAATCCACAGCTTCTCCATCGACTCACCTGTCTCACGATTCCTGACAGGTCTCGAGCTTCTGCTCGTCAAGATGAGAGAGTGGGAGGAGAATGCTCACAGTGGAGTAAGTCTCGCTGAACACTCGACTTCTCTCACTCAACAGATCATCGAGTGGAGGAAATTGGAGCTCAACTGCTGGAAAAGCTTTCTCGAGTCTACATTCGAGAGATTAAAAGCTAAAACATCGAAATGGTGGTTCTTGATGTTTGGTGTTGTCCAATCGTACTTGAATAAATCACCAGAAGTTCCAGAAGTTCAAGAAGAGAATGCCACAACTGAAAACGAGGAAATTATCACAGCGAAGAAGTTGATCGAACGATTGGAGAATTTCATGAATCAGTCTCCCTTGGTGGAGTTCCAGGCTAGACTGGATCTACTCTACACTTTCCACTGTCACGTGTGCTGCGTCAAACCGAGTCCAGAGAGGGATGAGCTACTAGCCATCTTCTGGAACATCCACAACTACTACATTCAGTTCAGCAAAGAAGTAGATGCTAAAATAAATTCTCTCAAGTCTCCCATCGAGAAAAAGCTCAAAGAATTCGTGAAAATTGCTAGATGGAATGACATCAACTACTGGTCTGTGAAGGAGACCGTTGACAAGACCCACAGGACGCTCTACAAATTCATTCGAGAGTACGAGAGTGGATTGAAGCAAAACGTTGGCGTCTGCCTCCTGGTCAAACCCTCAAATTACGATTTGGAGGCGAATCGAGGGGAATGGGATCGTTCCAGAGATCGAGAGTACACGATCGATCCAAAGGACTTCATCACTCCTCCACTTCCCACCGGAGGGACTGCTCTTCAGGTACAGAACAATTTCATAAACAGAAGTGCCAGTCTCTTTACGAAGAGCAAAAAACTTTGTGAACAGATGATAACAAAGTCGACGTATCCTGCATTGAGATCAGAATTGGAACAGTTCATTGAAGACTCTATGGCCCATGCGATCACCCTGAAGAACCTGGAGGTCGACAGGACATTACCAAACTCCAAACAAAAGTCACATGCCAAGAGTATCCTCCAGCAGAAGAAGATGGCTCTGGCTGACTACTTCAAGTCGTTAACTGGCTTTGGAATGTCATACAGAAAGGGATTACTGGCCCTGAAGAATCGACCTGACGACATCATCGACTTCACAGTTCCCCCAGTGGAAGTGTCCTCAGCCCTCAAGAGGTTTGATGACCTCAAGAACACCGACCAGCAGATGTTGGCTCAGTGGAGTGGCTGTCAGTCCTATTATTACAAATCTCTGATCAAATTGAATGCCCTGAACAGCGCTTTCATGAAGGTTCAGACTGACCTGGGGGTCTCCAACATGGAGAGGTGCAGTGGGTACTCCAATCACCTGATGCTCCTGGTTCACAACGAGAAGAAGATCTTAGCAGAGAGCTTCGACAGTTTCCTAATCCTCAAACAACATATTTCAGAACTGATGAGGATTGACACTGAAGATGTCGACCTTCCAGTCCACGAAGACATCAGTGCCTGTTCCAGTCGACTGAAGGATCTGCTTTTGTTCCTTCAGATTAATTTCGAACAGCTGGGGATCTACCTCCACTCGTGCCCCAGGGGTGATGATACAGAGGATAGTCCAGAGGTCTTGCTGCTCGAGTCCAACGACATTCCCATGATCAGTTCAAAGAAAGATGACGATGTCTGGAGGTCAGCACTCAGCATCCTGAAGAGTTGTGCAGACATTGTATCCGAGGAGTTGAAAAAGCACGAGAAAATGTTTGGACAATCTCCACATTCTGTTATCAGAACAGGCATTCACTACAATTCCCTGGGGATCAGTCAACAGAGTCTCCAGAAGATCAGAGCCATCATCTCTAATTTCATAAGACTGTTCACCAAGGATCATCCCATCATGGAGACGATCCACTATATTGAAACAAAGATTGAGACATGGATCGTTGGTTTTACAGAACTTAAACGCATTTCCACCACGATAGTCGATCCTGAGGACGTTAGAATAACGAAGTTCAGTAATGATGCCGAGAATCTGATGAAGACTATTCTTCTCGTTATCCAGGACAAGTACAAAGAAGCATCTATCAGTGGGAACGATGAAGTACCCACTGCTGATGATGGAGATGCAGCAGTGCAGCAGAGGGGAGACGAGGAAGAAGTCCAGAGTTCACAACTACAGGAGAATGGACTACGAGAGAAATTAATAGAGTCTTTAGAGAAGGACATCACAAACTTGAGGCTGAATGAAGTGAATGAGAAAGTCGAGGGGCTCCTGGAACTCAGTCAGAAAATGAAGCCATCATTCTCATCACAATCGAACTTGATCTGGCGCAGATGTCTCCCAATTCTGAATCAATACCTCCTGTTCTCCCAATTTTATCTTCATGAACAAGTTGCATTGTTTCGAACGAGCTGTAAATTCTTGTACATTCAGCTGAACGTCTTCCTTGACCTGGCGACCAACGGTTTCTGTGTCCCAAAAGACCTCGATCTTGGCGATGCTGAGGCTGATGAGGACGGTGAGCAACGAGACTCAGATAAAGGGGGAATGGGTCTTGTTGATGGAGAAGGGAAGAAGGATGTTTCAGATAGGCTCGAGTCTGAGGATCAGCTTGACGATGCGAGACCAGCTGGTGAGGAGAAAGAATCCAAAGAGGACAAAGATTGCAAAGAGGAAGAGAATGGTATCGACATGAGCGAGAATTTTGATTCGAAGCTACAGGACTTGGATAAGAAAGAGAATGAGGAGGACGATGACAAAGAGAAGGACGAGGATGATGAGGATCTTGATAAAGAGATTGGTGACACTGAAGAGGGAACTGATCAGTTAGATAAAGAGATCTGGGGTGATGATCAGGAGGAAGAGGACACCGAGACGAACGAGACCGATGAGCAGGGGTCAGGGGAGCAACTTGGGGACAAGGAGATGACTGCTAAAGACGAGAAGACGAAGAGCCCGAATGAAGAGGACCAGAGCCAGAGGGAGAATCGCGAAGGGGAGGAGGAGGAGAAGGAGGAGATTAACGAGATGAACGAGCCAGATGTCAATGACGATCAGATCAATCCTTACCATGGCAACCAGGAGCCCCAACCAGAGCCTGAGGCGATGGACCTGCCAGAAGACCTGAATCTTGATGAGGGTGAGGGTAAGGAGGACAATGCCGAGGGTGAAGAGAACCCCTTTGATATTGACGAGATGAAAGAGGCTATGCCCCCACCAGAGGTGAAGGAACCAGAGGCACCTCAAGGAGAAGAGAAGAAAGATGAAGCCCAGGACGATGACTCTAGTGATGAAGAGGAGAACGGCCCTTCAACGTCAGATCCAGAGGTCAAAGACTTGGATGAGAACGAGCAGAATCCTGAGGAGGGATCCAACCAAGTCCCAGAGGAAGGCACCAAGGAGGAGGAGCCAAAACCTGAGGAAACAGAGAAATCTGGTGAGGAACAAGCAGTCCCGAGTATGGACGATGCCAGTGAAGAGACAGATGCTGCCCAGGAATCAAAAACAAATGATGGCTCTCACGATAAAGTCCCCGATAAGGAGAATAAAAACGAGGAACAGGAGTCCTCGGCAACTGAGAATAATCAGGACGATGGGGAGGACAAGGGGACAGGTCAGGCACAGTCTGAGGAGCCTGAGCACGGTCATGTGGGTACTTCATCTCAGAAAAACACACCTGTGCAGCGTCAAGATGTGGAGCAGAAGCCACAGGAGAAGAGGAAGAATCCTGGCGAGAGCGACGAGAATCGTGCTCTAGTGGACAACATCCAGCCTGATAAGAAGAAGCAGAAGATGATTTACTCGAGAGAGGAGTCCTCTGCCAATAACGAAGACGATGAGGGGGCAGAGGAGGACAGGGATGGGGACGTTGACATGTGTGAGCACGTGAAGGAGTCCGAGAGGTACGATAATTACGCGACAGATGCTGCGACTGAAGAACAAGCGAAAAAGCAGAAAACTGCGGATAGGGAGGAAGATCCTGAGGGGAAGGATGAAGAGGAGCAAATGGACGTGGACATGCATGAGGAGGAAGCTGTGGAGGAGGACGAAACGCGGAGATTGACACAAAATCCAGAGGAAACTCCAGAATCAGATGGAAAGAAAGATAAGGAGAAGTCGAAGACGAGTTCAAGGGGTCAAGCTCTCGAAGAATCATCAATGGAGACTCAAGTGGAGGTTGAGGGGGAGAATGTCGACACACTTGGGGTTCAGAGGGCAGCAGAGTCCGCATTCTATACAAATTTAATCGAGGACACTTCGATGACGAGAATTGAGGAGGGAAGGCAGGAAATCGAGAGTATGTTGAGTCAATGGAGATCTACACCCACGACAGAAGAGGCTTTGACAGCCTGGAACAGCCTCTGCGCAGTGACAGAGAGTTCTGCGAGGGATTTATCAGAGAAACTGAGACTCGTGCTGGAGCCAACTCAAGCTACTAGACTAAGGGGGGACTACAGGACTGGAAAACGAATTAACATGAGGAAAATCATTCCTTACATTGCCAGCCAGTTCAGGAAGGATAAAATCTGGATGAGGAGGACTAAACCATCGAAGAGAGATTATCAGATTGTGCTGGCACTGGATGACAGCAGTAGTATGGCTGATAATCACTCGAAGGAACTGGCGTTCGAGTCCTTATCACTGATTTCTAAGGCAATGGGGTATCTGGAAGTTGGGGAACTCGGTGTTCTGAGTTTTGGGGAAACACCGAAGGTCCTCCATCCATTGGGGGCTTCCTTCACCGAAGAGAGTGGGTCCAGGCTCATTCAGGAGATGAAGTTCGATCAGAAGAACACGAAGATAGCGGAGTTGGTTGACTTCACTGTAGATATGTTCGAGGGACAGAGAACAGCAACTGATAACGCCAAACTTCTTCTCATTTTGAGTGATGGAAGGGGACTCTCCTCTGATGGACTTAACAAGGTCGTTCGTGCTGTCAGGAGGGCCAAACTCAAGGACATCTTCATTGTTTTCATCATTGTTGAGAATCCAAACGGTAGAGACTCGATTTTGGATATTCGTAATGCAGTTTTTGAAGGTGGGAAAGTTGTTTTTTATCCTTATTTGGACAGCTTCCCGTTTCCATTCTACATGATTCTGAAAGATATTAACGCACTCCCTGGCGTCCTCAGTGATGCCCTCAGGCAGTGGTTCGAGGTCGTAGGGAAGATTGATGCTTAATTTATTTTTTTACTGATTTGTGTTAAATACAATAGTTTTGTCTAGTTTAAGGAGCATTTTTATAACGCTCAACGTTCTTTCTATTGTTTGAGTTACATGTAAGACGTCAAAGATGGGATTTGGCCTGCATTTTTTTATATGAACGTTATTTAGGCTCAATTCTTTCATAACTGGAGTGTTACAAAAATAAAGTATTTTCTACTTTCACCGATGTACAAGTTCGAACTGTTGGTTCCATTCGAATGACATCACATTTTTATTCTTCATTTGAGTAATGCGTACTTGAGAGTGTAAATATTTATGAAAATATAAAACTATTTGGATTAATTTTTATTGTTATTCACAAATTATTTCTAACAAAAATTTATCACCAATCGATAGCAAATTGTTTGAAGATTTTTGCGAGTTTAGAAAAAATCGTGAATGCAATCCTATTATTGTGCAAATTAACAATTCCAATTTCAACTGAAAACCAGAGTTTGTAGCAGAGATGTCAGACAAGATATGAGTGNTGAAGGCCCGAGTTGTAGGCCCGAGTTTGTAGCAGCGATGTCAGACAAGATATGAATGTTTTTTTGAGCTCAAATGAAAGAGCGGGTCGAGAAATGGCGTGCAGAAGTCTTTAAAGATGACAAATGTCTCTAAAGATGATGTCTGTTTTCAATTGAAAAGCGCAATTGTCACAAATGGCGTGCTAATGCCTCTAAAGATGGTTTTGAACCAGGGAAGACTCCTAGACCCCTCTGGACAATGTTGTCACAACTCTGCTTTTCAATTGAAAACTGACATAATCGTTAGAGAGTTACTTAGTCAGTGCCACAAAAAATCATATCATCATCATCATAATCGTTAGAGACACTTGTCATCTTTAAAGACTTCTGCATGCCATTTCTGAGGAAATTTGGGTTCCCTATAGGTAGATGGACGGCTCAGAATTGCGTTTTTCCACTTCGAACACCCTATACAAGATAAATTAAATTATTTTTTTGGCGATTTCGTTTTTCGCGATTATCTCGGAAACTATGAGAGATAGAGCCTTAAAATCTATTCCATTCGATTCCTGAGGAAATTTGGGTTCCTTATAGGCAGATGGAGGGCTCAGAATTGCGTTTTTCCATTTCCCACACCCGATACAAGATGAATTAAATTAATTTTTTTAGGCATTTTCGTTTTTCGCGATTATCTCGGAAACTATGAGAGATAGAGCCTTAAAACCTATTCCATTCGATTCCTGAGGAAATTTGGGTTCCGTATAGGCAGATGGACGGCTCAGAATTGCGTTTTTCCACTTCGAACACCCTATATAAGATAAATTAAATTATTTTTTTGGCGATTTCGTTTTTCGCGATTATCTCGGAAACTATGAGAGATAGAGCCTTAAAACCTATTCCATTCGATTCCTGAGGAAATTTGGGTTCCGTATAGGCAGATGGGCGGCTCAGAATTGCGTTTTTCCACTTCCTACACCCCATACAAGATGAATTAAATTAATTTTTTTTGGCACTTTCGTTTTTCGTGATTATCTCGGAAACTATGAGAGATAGAGCCTTAAAACTAAATTTGGGTTCCCTATAAGAAGATGGGCGGCTCAGAATTGCGTTTTTCCACTTCCTACACCCCATACAAGATAAATTGAAATAATTTTTTTTGGCCATTTCGTTTTTCGCGATTTTCTCGGAAACTATGAGAGATAGAGCCTTAAAACCTATTCAATTCGATTCTAATTCTAAATTAAATGTTGAAAACAATGCCACCATTATTGTTCATGAACAAAATAAATATTAAATTATTCCTCCCACCGGAATTTTTCTTCATACGTGTGGTCGACACCTGGTCTCCTTGAATTAAGAGGAAACATAAAAACGATGAAATATATTTTGTGTCGAAATTCCCTATAATCTTTATTCAAATGTGAAAGTACACCCGAAGAAGCTCCATTGAGAGTCTCATTACATATCATGGAATATCCGCAGTTACATTAAATGCTGAATACCACGCGACCTCTGTCCTGCATGAACGAAATAAATATTAAATTATTCGTCGACGTGTGGAAAATCCCCAAAGTTCATCGTCTTCTGCACAACGAAAAATCCTACTGGAATTTTTCTTCACATGCGCGATCCTTGGTCTCCTTGAATTTATGGAATTTAGTGATGAGCTCGTCGATTTGAATTTCCCCGTGCACAACGTTATCCCTCGTTCTAACGTTCACCGTTCCAGCAGCTTTCTCCTTCTCTCCGACAACTGAAAGACGAAGAGTTCACTAATTTTCTGACAATGCCTGGACAATTGTTTCACAAACAATGTTTTTTTTTTTCAAATTCTTACCGAGAATGAAATTGAATTGCGCCAATTGCGCATTCCTGATCTTCTTGTTCATGGTGTCACTGTCATCAATATCAACTTCAGCCATGAACCCAGCACTCCAGAGCTTCTCTTTAACTTGGAATGCATAATCATCCAGTGGAGGCCCGACTGGAATGACCATGACCTGCCTGGGGGATAGCCAGAATGGCCATTTTCCAGCATAAGACTCCGTGAGAATAGCGATCATTCTCTCGACAGATCCAAGGATGGCCCTGTGGATGATAACTGGCCTGGTCTTCTCCCCATGTTCACTGGGAACCAAAAGATATAAAAAATCTTCGTCATCAAAGCGATTAATTTTCATAAATCGACATTTCCTACTAGAACAAGGGTATTTCAATTTTCTTTTTAAAACAAGGTTATCTTACAATTCGCCTTAAGACTACGCTGAGAGAAAAACAAACACGTTGTCAAACAAGTCTTGTTTAGGCCCACAAAATCGCTCGTTGAAAATTGCCAAAAAAGAATTTGTTTGGTTCGAATTTGAAAGTCTCAAACATGAATAAATGTTCTGCTTTCGACAGCAACGAAATCTTTGGCTCAAGAGGCGGATCATTCACACCAGACGGTGCCTTTTCAGGATAAAAATATCTCATACAGAGGAAAATTCATCAACAAATATTTTATCCTCAAGTTACAAGATTGCTATCATATCATTATTATTGTTTCATTTAAAGGTTCATTTCTTATCTGCGATTATTAAACAGTCGAAACGAAAAACTACTATCCCTTGTTTCCCACAAAACAAAGATTTTTCGGGAGCAAAATACGTATGGGAGTATGGAATAACGAAGGAGTAGTGCTAGAAATGATATTTCTTGCGTGTACAGAGAATGCAATTTTTTTTAACCACTAAATCTATTTTTGCGATAAAAATTTTTCATTCCGGCGCACTCTCTGCATGTTTGGCACAAAAAAAATCCTTTTTTGATAATTTCCAAGAAACATTTTCTCTGCACAAGTAAGACTTGTTTGAGAACTTTGCCGTTTTTCTCTCAGTGTATCGTATCTCAAAATTCATGTGAAAGCTTGTCGTTCACATCCATTTCTGAGTCTCATGGAGCTCGCAAATCATTTTATTTCTCTTCCAATGTGAAGTACTTCATATTATTTGTACATTTTAAAGTATTCATACCATTAATACAGGTGTCAAGAGAAGGAAGGCGTGAGATTTCAGACGATTTTTCATATGAATTGTGAGATATCCTAGTCTTAACATGAACTTTGAGATGTCCTTGTTTTAAAAATAAAATTGAAATACCCTTGTCTTATTATAATACGTCGGAATATCATCACAAAGATTTCGCAATCACACTTACTTAACATATGAAAGATTGAACCTAATGGGCAATTGGAAATCCAATTGAATGGTAGCGCACTGATGTGGCCTCTTCAACGCATCCATGATGGTGATATCAATCTTGGGCCCATAGAAAGCTCCATCTCCAGGATTCAGCGTCCAAGGCTGCCCGAAGGCATCCAAACTCTCGGAAAGTGCTTTCTCAGCGTCATTCCACACCTCCAACTCCCCGAGGTACTTGTCAGGTCTCGTCGCCAAGCAAAGATTGAAGGTGAACCCGAAGACAGTGTAAACGTGTCTCAAGAAGTCGAGGGCAGCCAGCATCTCCTGCTTGATCTGTTCATTAGTGCAGAAGATGTGAGCGTCGTCCTGCTGGAATCTCCTTACCCTGGTGAGTCCAGTGAGAGCTCCGGACAGCTCGTTACGATGGAGAACCCCAAAGTCAGCCATTCTCAGAGGGAGCTCCCTCCAGGATCTGTTGCGAACGTCGAACATCATGCAGTGGCCAGGGCAGTTCATGGGCTTCAGTGCAAACGTCTCCTTCTCGACATCAAACGAGAACATATTCTCGGCATAGTGCTGCCAATGCCCAGACGTCTGCCACAATCGACTGTTGTAAATATTCGGAGTGACGACCTCCTGGAAACCTCTCTTCTTGTACTCGGACCTGATCATCTCGACTAGAGTATTGTAAATGTAAGCACCACGTGGCTGAAAGAAGCAGGACCCTGGGGACAGCTCGTGGAAGAAGAAGAGCTCCTGCTCCCGACCGATCTTCCTGTGATCCCTCTTGGCAGCCTCCTCCTGGAATTTCTCCCACTCTTTCAACTGCTTAGTGTCTGGAAAACTGATGCCATAGATACGTTGGAGACTCTCAGCGTTGGCGTTGCCCTCCCAGTAAGTTGACGAGTTCTTCGTTATTTTAATGGCTTTAACTTTTCCGGTATTACGAATGTGGGGACCTCTGCAGAGGTCGATCAGAGGTCCACATCTGTAGACAGTGGTGGTTGGGGTAGTGACTTTCTCGTTCAGAATCCTGACTTTGAACTCGTTGTACTTGAACATCTCCAAGAGGTCTTCCTTCTTCATCTCCAGACGCTCGAATGGTTGCTTTTCCTTCACGATGTTTTTGTAGAGAGACTCGAGGTAGGGAAAGTCTGTGTTGGAGATTCCCTTCTCACCCAGGAACATGTCGTAGTAGAAGCCATTTTCAATTGGAGGCCCGTAACAGAGGCAGCCTCCGTAGACTCGCTCCATTGCTTCGCCTAGGATGTGCGCTGACGAGTGCCAGAATACTTGTTGACCCTCTGGGTGGTCGAACTTTATGAGCTCCAGCTTGCAGTCGGATTCCAAAGGCCTGTCCAGGTCCCAGAGCTCGTTGTTCACCTTTGCTATGACCGTGTTGTCTGCTAGGCCCTGGCTTATACCCTTGGCTATGTCGTAGGGAGTTGAACGCCAGGATTGGGCTGGGAGTTGCTTCCCATCGGGAAGGGTCACTGTGATCTCGGCAGAGGGCTTCGCTGCCACGTCCGCATCGTAGTCAGATTTTAGTTTGTCCCATAGGTCCAGACGATCCTAGAAATTTTCGGTTGTAGCTGGCTTTTGTAATTTCAATAGGGGACATTTCAGGTCAACTCAATCATCTTTATTTTTTTTAGCCCGGTTGCACCAAGCCCTGTTATCCAAATAAACACCAGGGTAAAATTTATCCTCGGGGCCAATTATATCGCAAGGGTCATAGTTCTATATTTGACCCGAAGAATAATTTTTTATTTGTCCTGCAGCCTCATTTGACTTAAGGATGTTCGACATCCTTTTAGCCAAAATTGACGTTGTTTTCATTTTTCTGGCAAATTATCGATGGGAGTGACGTGAAAAAATATAACGATTTTGTGGTTTGTCATTCTTTAATGGCTCACGAAGTTGCGTAGTGGTGCGATAATTTTCATGCGTTTTTTCTACAGTTTTGTGATTCTTTTTAAAAGTTTAGAGAAAACGCAGGAAAATGTTCGCACCACCTTAAAATTTCGTCAGTCATTAAATAATGACAAAACGCAAAAACGTTATATTTTTTCACGTCAATTCCATCATAAGTTTGCCATAAAAATTTAAAAAACGTGAATTTTGGGCAGAAAGGGTGTAGAACATCCTTAACACTGATTTAACTTTGGGATTAAATTTAATTCTTTGCTCATGGGATAAATTTGAGATACTCTCCCGGGTAAAATAATCCATCGAACATACAAATTTACTTTTTTTTCTTATCTGACGTTTTCGTTACCCGGAGCTGGTGCAACCGGGCTTTTGTCTTATAAACGTTCATTGGTATTTTAGGATATTTTAGTAAATAAGAGAGTTTTTATTTAATTAAAACTCTCTTATTTACTGTGTGAATTTTACTGGGTGAATTTTCGATGACAGCAAGAGAGAGAAAACATTCCATAACAGTATTATTTCATCTCCGTGGATGATGATAGCGGAATAAATAATAGAATGGGATGTTGGAAGAGTTTAACAATAACAGTTCAAGTCGCGCAGTTTCGCTGAAAATTTTTGCTTCGGGCTCTTCACAATTCGCGTACATATCACAATAAACTCTAGTAAATTAAATAAATTTTATAATCGGAGTTTCTGTAACATCTTAATTGATTGAATCGCAAAAGTCTCAACAACAACACATCAAGGATTTTGGAGCAACCCATGTGGAACAGTCCAATTAGTATTCTTCAAACATCCATTATTTATTCCACTGTTAATTGGCGTGTTCAAGATCAAGTGCTACATGAATAAACAATTTCTGTGAATTATTATCATCTTAGCACCATTCGTTTGTGCAACTCTTATGAATAACAAATTTCCAGAAATTTATCTTACAAACAAAACGAGTGGTTTTGAAGAAAGGAAAAATCATTCTATTTGTTCTTTTCAAGTACTTTACGAATAAAAATACTCCATAACTGCAGAGGTTAATAACATTCTGCGACTTTTCGTCGCTGTTAAATTCAGTTCCTAGGTAAAGGCCAATCGTGAATGAATAGGGGAGGTTGGGTAAAACGGACACTTTTGACTTTTTTAAAAATGTTAATGAGGGGTTGAAATGTTGATAAAATTTAATAATTTTTTCTTTCAATACAAAGAACAATTCTTTCCCTTTGTGGCGAGCCTAAACTCTGCTCAATTGATCAATTTGTTTCTGAGTTATGAATAATTTTAAGAAAGTCTACTGTCCGTTTTACCCCAGCCTCCCCTACAAAACTTGTCTGTAAACCACTTTTCCGCGCATTTGGAAAACGTGATGTATTACAAGCCATAGTGGTTGATTTGCGGGAGGGAATGTCGCATATTCTCCTGGGGTAATTCATGTTCTTACCTGGATGTATGCGGGCCATGGCTTCAGCTCAGATACAGCGCTCTTCTCGGGTGCTGTTTTCTTTTCCTTGCCCTTCATTTTCGCCTGAAATTAAAAAATGAGTCATGATTACAAACTATTGGAGGTTACGTCAGACTATCGATCCCACGCGCCTAGGTGCATCACGAGTCAGAAACCCATTGAAAAGTAATTATTTCTACAAAATCGAGAGTTGATTAGAGTGTTATGATGGAAATTTCGTACTCTTGAGGGGGATGAAAAATATGTAACTATTTCATAACCAACCCAAGCATGTTTCCACTTAACACCGCATTGAGAACAGCCCCGATATCGCAATATGGTCAACATATTTACTATTTAAGTGAGAATTTACGGGAATTGAGTACGATTTTTAATTTATATAAATTTCAAGCATGCCTTTTCAGTTTTAACATTGAGATTTTCAATGCCGGCTGTCACCTCGTCACTCATGATGGTCAAAATAATGTGGGCACTATGGATGCACTGACGAAACTACGTCATGAAGGGCTACGATGCCACGATGCCTCGGAAACTCGCACACTATTATGTGGCGTGGTATTTCAATCAGGTTTCGCCATCACTTCTATGCAGGACAAAATTCTGTACGAAATGAAAAATAGAGTAGAATGTTATTGATGACTGGACAACAATTAGCAGTTTCTGAGATTATTCCACAATTTTTTTTCCAAGGGAAAAATATCGAAATTTGCATGAGTCGAATCTGAAATCCACTGTTTTGTATAAAAATCAAGTTTTATTCATTCATATTTTAATGCACATTTTTTCCATAAAAGATTCAAATGAATTGATAAAACTAGATCAATGAGCCAGAATAAGACCTGTCTCACTGGTCAATCTTGCAAGNAAGTGAGCAGTGGTCTGACCAGGATCAGGTAGCAAATCACCCTAGCTCTTTTGGTGATGTTTTTGTTACGAAAGAGTCTACCTAGTTTTTTAAATCTAGATTGGGCTTTGGCAAGCTGGGTGTCTGGGTGAGTGTAACACCTGATCCTGGTGTCAATAATCATACCCAAGTATCTTACTGAGGAACAAGCTGGTATTACAATCTTTTCCCGGGTGTCAGGGTGATGCGTGCTTATAGAAAAGTCTTTAATGCCTTTCCGCTTGTTACCGTTAATAAGTTTGTAAGGACGCCTAATCAAAATTGTCTCANCTGCCAGGATTCGAACCTGGAATCTTCTGATCCGTAGTCAGACGCGTTATTTATTTATTTTTTTTGTAACAAAATTTGTTTATTTCATCTATTTACATTTTTGGTTTTGGATACAAACAAATTTTTATAAAAAACTAATCCTTAAGGTCTATAAACAATGAGTAGTAATGGCGAAAATGTCGTGGGACGAGTCTCGAGCGCCTATTATATTTGTATTGAAAAAAAAGGGAAAACAAAATATTTACGGTTTGGAGACTGAATGGAATAATTTAAGCAGTCTTGATCAGTATCGTAGTAAGGATTGGTAAAAAATTTTGGATGAAAGGAAAAAAAAAGCCAATCAAAATCTTTGTAAAGAAAAAAAAAAGAAAAGAAAGCTCCTAGTCCTCAAGATTTCTAACGAAATCAGTAAAATGAGTGAAATAGAAAAGCACATATTGTAGATATAAATTAGTAGGAATTACGCGATAATTCTACTATGTGCACCTACAACTATATATACAATAAGAACAAAGTTTAAACGAAAACTTAGGGGTTTGCAAGGGTCTGTCTGCCCGACAGAGCTTCTACGTGAACTNACAGGTTTCCCTTTTTTTAGAATAGGGAGCACTTTAGCTGTTTTCCAGCCCGTCGGAAAGTAGTGATGGTTTATGCAGTTATTGAAAACAACAGCATAATCCTCAATAATCTCACCTGGGAGATTTTTCAGCACCACATTCGGGATACCATCGATTCCAGAGGAAGTTTTATTTGGGAGTCTTTTGATGATGCAGGCAAGCTTCAGACGTGACGTGAAGTAGGAGCAGTCCTCGGTTGAGGGAAGGGAGGCACTGTTATCAATGAAGAATGAGGTAATAGTTTCACTGTTGGCTCTGTTGCGTTCAAAGATATCTTTAAAATCTTGAGTTTTATTGTCAATAACGTCTCGAAGTCTAGTCCCTGTGTTGAGATGTCTAGGTGAATTTATTGACTCGTACCATGCGCCAATAACATTGAGTTTGTCGATTGGGTCTGAAATAACTAATTTTATCATCAACTTTTTGAGCATTGTCCGGAGAGTATTGGCTTCTTTGAAGGATATGGAGATCTGTGTCTTTGACGTGCATATCTGGAAGCTGCTGTCGAGGTTTGGGTCTGAAGATTTTATTAATGGTGGGCATAAATTCATGAGATTTTCGGAAATCGATTTTTTTATATAAATTCACCCAGTAGCGTTCAACTGACTTATCGAACTCGTGTTGGAGTGCTGATCTTATATCAGTGAGGAGATTCTTCACTTGCTGCGTGTGAGGGGACTGGCTTCTGGGGTCAGAGTCAAGACAGTTGTGGTAGAGGGTTAAGAGAGTAGATTTTTCTTTCTGCAGGCGGATAATTTTCCTAGTAAGATATTTTTTAATGCTGTCAGATGAGGAGTATCTGGGAACTGTGTTGTTAATGGTATTGACGATTTTCTCTGAGATGTCATTGAGAGCAGAGTCTATTTCGTTGATGTCTAGGTTCCTGTTCTTAGGGATCTGAATATTGTAATTGGATTTGAGGGTATCAGCAAATAGTTTCCAGTCCGTGGCTTTGAAATTGAACCTGGGGGGGTCAGGACTTTTGGTATCAAGGGCGAATGTAATACCAAGGTTTACCTGAATTAACAGACCTCTGTGGTCACTGTCATAGACCTGGGTAGGGACTCGGTTGCCTGTCTGTGAAAGTATGGAGATTCTGCTATCTGCAATGCAGTGATCAGGATAAGTCTGAGCTCTGATGTAAGTTGGCGAGATTCCGGAGTATATTTGCGTTTTAAATTTAAGCGAATTTTTGTTATCCCATTCCATTAAATATTTGCCTCTTTGGTCGTTTCTGTGATCCCCCCAACTGGTATGTCTCGCATTAAAATCGCCGGCTATGATGTATAGGTTATTATCGTGGTCTAGCTTCAGTGTATTGAATAAAAGCTCAAGTTCGGAAATAAATTCAGTTTTTGTAGTTGTGCTATTAGTTGCGTAAAGGCTGATGATGAAGAGGTTTTTCCTATTAGTTGTAATCAGTTTGATTATGGTGTATTCAATAATTGAGTTGTTTTCAGAGCTGGGATATTCGATTTTTTTATAGTTAAGATTCTTCCTGATTACAATAGCTGTGCCCCCAGAACGAGAAGCATTTTTCCTGTCAGACCTGATGAAATCATGATCAGGGAATGTTATTTTGTGGGCTTGACGGAGCTTAGTTTCTGATAAAAGTCCTATATCTATACTGTTACTGTTGATAAACTCCTGGAGTTGATATCTACGTTTTTGAGTGATAATGGAATTAACATTGATGGCAGAGATGTTAATATTACTAATTGTGGGTTCCTCGATTGTTAATATTACTAATTCAGGGTCCCATGTGTTGAAAAAATTTAGAGACTAAATAAAAATAATGCTCCAAACCATAGTCAATTGAGACGAGCAAAGCTACGAATGGATGCCGCGTACTCTTTGCTCTATTGTTATCGCAGCTGTTTTCCTTGGGTCTATATACAAAGCTAAGTTCTTTTTCAATACATTGACGACATTCATAACAGTAATATTGAATTTCTTTACCAATTATCCTTTTTTATTATGAAATAAAAAAAAACAATTTCGATCCTGCCAGGATTCGAACCTGGAATCTTCTGATCCGTAGTCAGACGCGTTATCCGTTGCGCCACAGGACCCGAGGGTTTTAGGTGCTTTTTTAAAAACCCCTTTTCTTCATAATCCCATGTTTACCTAAAAAAAAGATGGCGGCCCATCGTTCAACAAATCACAGCGCTGATTTCAAATTTTCTGAAACCGTGTCGCCACATGAGTCTGCGCCCTAAAGTAGAATGTTGTCCCACGAACGTGACTCATTTACAGATTTTGAAACAGGGTAAAAATGAACAACAATCCGAGTAAGAAAAATTCAGTAGAAATTTAATTTACATCTGAAACTGTGAAATTGAATTGGAATCGCTCTTGAGTCTGGCTCTGCCTGAACATTTGTGCCAGGTTAGTGTTAGAAGCTTCTCCATTTGGTTCTACCCTTGGATTCTCCACTTGACATTCACTCAGCCCCTTCGCCTTCTTCAAGAAGACAGATTTATTTTCCTTCGGCTTGGGTGTGACAATTCTCACTGTGGAGGCACTTTTACTGTGTTTCTTTTCTTCCTGCAGCATCTTCGCCCGATAATCACCGAAAGTTGTCCTCATAATCTGTCTCTTCTGAACCAAAGGCACATTATTGCTTTTCAGAAGCTTCAGACTCTTCTGTGCATCGCGAATTTGTTTGTCTCCTAGTTTGTTGGAATTCATGCTGAGTTCCAACTGTTGGATGCACCAGCACAGTTCGAGCTCGAACTTATTCTCAGTCTCGAGATCCAAGCCACTGGCTGATGATTCAGAAGATCCAGGTGTCGCGAGCACCTGCTGTGGCACTGGTTTAGGGGTGACTTTTGGAGGAAATCGTTTGCCTCCCTGCAATAATCGAACATGTCAACGAATGTTCTATTAATCAAATGAATGTCTAGAACAGATAACTCACCGGCTTGAATTTAGGGGGCATTCTTATTAATATTATCGGCGATGTCAACGTTGAATCGTTCAAGTTATTAATTTGTACTGAATATTCGACAAAATTATTTCTATTTGTGTTGTTTTACGAATTGACTGTCAACAACTGCCGTCAGCTGTCCACGTGCTTCCTCAAAGCAAAAAAAGAACACATGAGAACTCCCATATTCATGGGTAATAACGATTCCCATCGGTAAAGGAGACTTTTCACTGCAGTCTTCTTTCAGCTGACGACTAGTGGCACTACAAGTAGGTTCAAGACGTTCAGGAATCGTCAGTATAAAATTCCAAAACTCCACGAAAATTTTTCAGTACTCATTATTATCAACGAAGTTCCAATGGTAAAAATCAAATAAACAGTCATTGTTTGTTCTTTTAGTCTCGATTTTTATTACATACACTCGTGCTGGTATAGAAATATCGTAGAAATTCAAAAATTCTTCCGTAATGAAACAAAAAAACAGAAAATTTTTGGGTAATACATCGAAACTCAGTTTCACATTCTTTCAAATTGCTTTATCTTCAATTTTTTTTTTCGTCACAACTTTATAACGTACATACACAAGAGTGACTTATATAATAAGTATAACGGATTTCAATTTTTATACAAACATCCAAAATACGGGGATCGTATTACAGTACGATAATAATAAATTCTTCCCATGACGTGTGAAACGAATGAATTCATCTCTTTGATCGCTAAAATGTCAATCAATTGTACTATATTTACAATGAAAAATCATATCTCATTTTTTTGTTCTCTCGCGTCAATTTGTTTTGCACCTTTTGCATTATACTTTGGTATTGAATGAAAAAAGGAGAATAGCTGTCTTCTTTCTACTCTCAAGTCCACTTGATTCATGTTGCACTCATTAACGATTGCATGTAGCATTAATTATATTACAACGTCATTTACCATTCACGCAATTATCGTATCTACTTTTTTCTGTTACTCTCCAGCCCTCTTTTTATATCGCTCCCCCTCAGGCTTTCACATTTCGAATACATCCCAACGTCAATTTACATATTACAATTTTCGCGATATCCCATTGTCCGACAAAAATGATAATTATCATTAAATCGTAACAGTGAAATCGGGCATTGTCAATTTTTGATTCATTCACGTCTTGCTGAAATGATAAATTACTCGGATTGAAAGGTCTACTATGTACATCGTAGATTTAAGGGATTAAACTATGGACTCCCGGTGTCGTGGTGCAAGGAATCACTGTCACTCTCTAAATAGGTAACGTAGCTGTCTGTACTGTCAGGGTGTTGGCCCATGTCGGGGCCCCCGACAGGATGATGTGGACCAGGTGGTGGCAGTGGCCCACCACCTACTCCATCATTCATTGGACCACCCAGCATTCCAGGTTGAGGTAACTGAGGAGGTGGACCCCCATGAATGTCGTATCCATGCATCTGTAACGATAAAAAAGTTAAACATTACGATGATATTTGACTTGATGGAGAACCGCAATTGCACTACTCGGTCAGTGCATCTTAATGACAGTTCATTAATTATTTCATCTCATTTATCTCAGTATTTTTGCTTGAAAAATCTCTGCAAAACCCCAAATGCAATAATGACGACGATGCAGATGCTTATAATCCACTTAAAAAAAAATTCAGAGTTACGATTTTTGAAGCCTCTATTCCGCTTATCAAGTAATGTAATATGATGTCTACATAGATTTTTTTAAGTACTGTAATGTTTTGTTTACAGTAATCGTAATAATCGTAAAAAAGAGAAATTCATTTCTTGCTGTAATCGAAAAGTATCTAGTTCTGTAAAAAAATATACAATAGCATAAGAACGCAAAAAGGAAAAGAGAAACGAGGACCACTGAGGAAAAAAACTATTTTTGCCAAATATTCATGTAGGGGAGTTTGGGATAAAATGGACACTTTTGACGTTTTTTAAAATGTTAATGACAGCTTGAAATGTTTATGAAATTCAATCATTTCAATGCAAAGAACATTTCTTTCCCTTTGGGATGAGCCCAAACTGAGCTCAATTGATAAATTTATTTCTGAGTTATGACTAATTTTAAAAAAGTCCAAAGTGTCCATTTTACCCCATCCTCCCCTAATTGAGAGAAGCATTTATTTTTTCGAAATCGTATTTCTCTAATTGAATCATTCCTAGGCGAGCCTGATTAGCTTTCAATTATGACAATCATGTTGCTCTAGAGGATGACTACGCTGCACATAGTCTTGAATGAACTTCTCCAAAGATTATTAATTTTCCCTAAATTTCTCATTTTCTAGAGAGAAGAATTTCGATTGATTTCTTCATGTTTATAATGATTGAGAAAGTTCACTCACGGTCATAACTAACATGATCATCTTTTAGAGCAATATAATTGTCATAATTGGCATCTAACGAGAATTGCCCGGGAATGACTCGACTGGAGAAATATAGTATTGAAAAAATAAATACTTCTCCCAAGTAAATAGATATTTCGCAAAAATATATTTTTGTCTTAGTGAAGAAGATGAAGAGTATTATGATGACTCCGAATAAATTATTCACTAATTGAATTCTCATTGTGAAAAACTTTGTTGAAACCAGTCATTTATCCTGCATTATTATTGAGATAAAAATTAAAGCAAGTGAGAAACAGTAAGGTTTTGCTATTCTGACACCGATGGAGAACAATAAGCGCGCGTCCTGTCCTAGTGCGCGAAATATTACCTGTGACACCAGATGATGGAACGAGGGTGCATTGGGGTCCATTCTATCGAGATCCGTGTGCAATGCAAAGTCAGACAGTGCTTTCCACGGTGGTTGATACGCTTGTACCTCAAGTGGAGTCATGCCAATAGGGCTCTCATGCCTCACAGGACTGCTGGCTACCATCGGAATACCATGCATACCACCGAAGCCCAGTTTCCTGCCATCCTGGAACCCAGAGTACTTCGTAATGTTAGAACTTCCCAGATCCAATCGATAAAATATACGATAAAATATACGATAAAAATGGTACATAAAATACCGTAGTCAAACGGTATGCGTAAATGATAGTGCAGTAAAAGAATATATTTAGATTTTATTAAATACCAAATAGCTGAATTATTTGGTATACCTTCTCCTGCTGCATCTGCTGTTTCATTGCAATTGTCTTTTTTTTGTCCTTGCAGCGCTTGTTCTGGAACCACACTCTGATGACCCTCGGACTGAGACTAGTCATCTCCACGAGCTGCTCCTTCATCAGTGCGTCGGGTCTGGGATTGGCGGCGTAGCACGTTCTCAAGGTATGCAATTGTTTCTCATTCAAAACGGTTCGCACCCTCGTGGGCTTGCCATCGGAGCCACCGCCACCCTTATGGCCACTCGATCCCCTCGGACCGACCCCTGTCTTGTGCGATCCACTCTCCGATCCAGAATCTAGCGGAAAGTAGAAAATTCAAACGTCAATAGGGGGGGGGGGGGGAAATACCGTTCGCCAATATTTCTACATGTTCCTTGGTAATGAAATTTCATTTCTCTTGGTTTTTTTCTGATGACTAGTATTCCATGAATTACTTTCGCATGTCTAAACGACAGCCATAAATGCAAATGAGACGTTGAGGACGCATCTCTTGGCATAACTTTGGTGGAGAACGCAACCAAAAAAGTATAAAACCAGTCGGTTCGAACGATGTCCAGGTATATGTGTGTAGAGTCACCTTGCTCTTTGGCCATAGGCTTGCGTGCAGACTGCGGAAACTTCGTGTTCGACTATTTACCTTCGGTAAAAACAGAAGTGAAGAACAGGATGGGGAAAAAAAATGGGGGAAGACGAGAATGAGAAGAAGAAAAACGAGAAAAAGAGAGGACAAAATTTCAAGGAGTAAATGAAATCCGGGGAGCTTATCTCTCGTTCTGTGCAGGTCCTAACCAAATAAGAGCTCGAAGGTGAGCTCACGTTTTATGACAAAAAAGGCGAAAAGGTTTAGAGGTCAAGAATTGGGGGAAAAAATGGGAAAATAACGGGAAAGCGCGGGGGATGGGGGAGAAATTGCTGCATTGATCGGTACTCAAAGGCGAAGAAGTCACAGGAAAGCGGAAAAATTAATGAATTAAATGTGTTTTGCTTTTTGTTCTCCTACGGTTTTATTTTTTGAGAAAAAAACAACGGCATATGGATTCGAAGTGGATTCCACTCTTGTAGTTGAATCTCGAGTGGCTTGGGCGCGCGGTGTATTTTGAAAGGAGAACGCACGCGGTACTAGCCTTTGATGTCAAACGCCGAATGTCGCTATAGGTATCTCGGTCAAACAGATATACCAAACGTACAACGTTTGCCTCGGTAAACTTGGATCTCCAAGATATCGATTTCAATTTGAACGTAATCTTGACAATCCTGATAATCGTAGATCTATTGATAATTTTCTCGATTTCGTTTGATGATTGATAATGCGAGATTAATCGATTGCTAAAAAAGGGAAAAGCGTAGGTAGAACTATTCAAATAAATTAAATCGTAGAGCAGGCGGGAGCAGTATTAATTTGAGGGATGTGAAATTACTTTTTAAGGATGTTCGACACCCTTTTAGCCAAAATTGACGTTGTTTTCATTTTTCTGGCAAATTATCGATGGGAGTGACGTGAAAAAATATAACGATTTTGTGGTTTGTCATTCTTTAATGGCTCACGAAGTTGCGTAGTGGTGCGATAATTTTCATGCGTTTTTTCTACAGTTTTGTGATTCTTTTTAAAAGTTTAGAGAAAACGCAGGAAAATGTTCGCACCACCTTAAAATTTCGTCAGTCATTAAATAATGACAAAACGCAAAAACGTTATATTTTTTCACGTCAATTCCATCATAAGCTTGCCAGAAAAATTCACGTTTTTTATTTTTCTGGCAAATTATTGATCGGATTGACGCGAAATAATATACGGTTTTTGCGTTTTATATAATTATTGACTGACTCACAAAGTTTCATGGTAGTGCAATCATTTTCCTGCATTTTTTCTAAAGTTTTGTGAATTTCCGAAAAGTTTTAGAAAAAACGCAGGAAAATGATTGCACGATCATGAAATTTCGTGAGTCATTAGGTAATGATAAAACACAAAAACGGTATATTTTTTCGCGTCAATCCGATCAACAATTTACCAGAAAAATTCAAAAAACGAGAATTTTGGTGAAAAGGATGTAATACATCCTTAAAATCCGCCAGGTCGGAGAAAAATGTGACGTTAATTTTTCACGTACCATAATTTCGGTCCCTTGCTATTTCAATCGACTAGCTAGATAAAAACGGTCATGAATTTTGCGGTCATAAACTTTTGACATTTGGTAATAACTCGTGTTTTCAATTATTCGTTACGATTTTAATACATTGATTGTATGTATTTGACAATGGACTCAACGCTTTGTCATCATGAAACCATCTCCGAATGCCACGTTATACTACCAGTTGGATGTAATGTGACGGTCAGATAGCACACTGGTAGAAATTTTTTGAAATTTCATGGAAGATATTATAGTAAATCTCATGAGAGTGACATTGAATCGAATTGAAGGAAATAATGGTCATGAAATTTCACAACTTGATTGAATTTTCAGTGTAACATAAATAGTCAGAAACAAAAAAAAATGACATGAATTTTGAAATTCCACATAATAATGCACATAATAATTAAACTGAAAAATCGAGTATTTTATTGATTTCTAGATTATTTGAACAGAAAATCAGTGGAATATTTGATTTTTCAATGACAAGATTTCCTGAACTTTCAGTGGAACTTCAACACGATAAAAATTTCCGAAATTTGGCACGGAAAATTCAGACAACAATTTTTGACAGTGTAAATTGATCATAATTTCTTCATATTCCCGTCCGTCACATGACGCGTCAGTGTCATGCTATTTTTTCGCATCCCTGGCCGAGAGTTATCCCCATAAAGATGATCCCATTCGAATCTCAGTGAAACCCCAAAAGAGAAAAAATAAACAAGAGGTGTTTCTGAAAAAAAAAGAAAAAAGCAAAGTCGCGCGTCCAAGTGTGCTACAGTAGTTGGCAAGTTGGTGTCATATTTGACACCTTCCTTGAGGCCGTAAAGACCCACCACACACAATCTTAATCCCCTGCGCACACAAACGTGATGCACACATGTTTATGAAAATTTGAGATGTCATAAATGAAACGCACACGTGAATACATAAGTTTAAATGAGCGTAATAAACATTAGGGGAAGTGAAGGGAAAAAAAGGAGTTCCTCGGGCTACCGTATATAACCGGTACGCGTGCATAAACAATTGGCCCCCGTGAATTAATGCCTCTTGGAATTTCCACTGGTATTTTTTTTGACATGTCCAGTGGACGTCAGAGTTTTGAGACGCGTGGCTGCGATAAGTCCGATTAATCCCAGTGAATATGGGCATAAATATGGGGTATAAGGGGCACAAGTGGAAAGTGTGGGTAACGCCGAAGCTTAAGGGCTTCCAATTATCAACACGTAATTACGGATGTGAAGATCCTAACTCAACACCCACTGACCCTTTTGTTGTTGCTAGTGGGATTGTAACTACCCTCTCTGTGAATTTGCTCATTCGAGTGAAATCCCCTGATGGACATAATCCAGGGGCTATTTGACAGTGTCAGAATGTTTTTGTCAAATTCACTGCGCGTGTGATAATGATTTTTATTTATTGACTGGAAAATCAATTAATGGGGTAAATATTACGAGCCGATGGAATTTATGATTTAGAGGAGAAAATTCAGTAGCGAAATGGTCAAATGGTTCAAGTCAATTTAGTCTTTAATTGAGTTTTCCAGAAATATTTCCGAATTTAAGAGAGATAGCGAAATTTTCATAATAACCTTTTTTGTAGAGCAAATTGAGTGCGACTAAAAAGGTTATGAGAAAAATTTTGCTATCTCCCTTAGTTTTCGAGATATTCATTGAAAACTGGCCAATAGTCAAAATCTACTTAAACCGTTTGACCACATAGCTACTGAATTATGTTTTTATCTGTCATTTTATTTGTTTACACTGAGAAAAAAAATATGAAGCTGAAACTAGCAGAATATTCGTCAACGGATAATTCAATTTAGGGGATATTTAAGTATAGGAGAGTCAAATAATCATATGCACAACTGTTTTTCAAGTGCGAAAGGGTTTGTACATTATTTAAAAACATTTGTACACCCCTAGATTAGCCTAAGACAAATCTTCTGCTGTCGAATCTTTCGCTAGTTTCAGCTTCACAAAAAAAATTACTTTTGCCAGGTAAATTTACTAACTACAAGAAAATCCACACATTTCAAATGCAAATATTTTTACTTGTGGCAAGTAAATTTACTCGGCAGAAGTAATTTTTTTTCCTCAGTGTACTCGGTGATTAGGAATTGAATATCTTACCGGAGAGCGATGCATCGTTAGCTCCTAAATGATGATTATTGTTCGTAAGGGTTGCATTATTGTTATTCTCGTTGCCAGCGCTGTCAACAGCTCCTGTACAGAATTTTCCGCTCTCCAATATGTCATGATCGTGCCGACAAAAGAGACCGTCATGCCGCAGAGCAAATTGATCCCCAGTTTCTAATTTTCTCATGCACGCCGAACACCGGAAGCACTCTTTATGATATATTTTCGTTTTCGCACGCATCACAAGGTCGTTCTTGTTGAACGACTGACTGCACTTGTCGCATTTGGTTCCGAATAATCTGTAAAAATGGAGTGATTAAGTCTCTCAGTCAATTTTCATTGGATCGGTGTGGAAATTCACTGGGAATTCTCGTGCAGGAGTTAATCGATTTTTGTACAAGTTTTTTCACCTCGAGACGAAGTCGACAAAGAACAACAAACTCCTTCACTTTTCTTCCACCCTCGCTCGATCTTTTTTTATTTCTCTCGTCAGCCGGATACCAAACGTCCCAGCGTGACGAATCCATTTAAATAAACATTCCCGCATGTTCCTGACTGCTTATTTTCAAAACAATCCCGGTAGATTGTTTATTAGAATTTTGACACTGACGTAATTCGCTAATTCGTTTTTTTGGTCGTTTATTTTCGAAGTTCGAATGATTTGAACGATTCGCTGATTGGACTGTCACTTTAACTGATTTAAATGACCAACTATTTCAACTTTGGGAGGGAAAAACAATCGGAAACATTTTTCGGGTTTTTTTTTTCGTTTTGTACTGCACAGAGAGGAAATTTTAATAGATGAGTCTTAAATGCGTTGCCGAAATTTTTTAATCAAGGAATTTTTTTATCTAGTAGAAAATGCAGTAATACGAGTGAGTTGACAATATTGTTATTTAATACACGACATTGCAGTTCTCGCGAGAATGTTCGTAAAAAAATCAGAAAGGTCGACGCTACACGATTATTAAAATTCAGGGATAATTTTCAAAGGATTTTTCTCTCAATAATTACCAACCTCGTATAATCACGTTTACAGTAGGTTTTTCCGTCTCTAACGAAGCACGTACATCGTTCGTCCAAAAATTGTTGGCACTCAGCGCACTTGAGGCACGCTGCATGCCACTCAAGATCTGGTGCAACCCGTAAAATCCATTGATCGTGGATCCAGCCACCGCAGCCAACACACAACGAGCTTTTGACTTCTGAAAAATAAATAATTAACAATTATAAATGCAACTCAACATAGAAACTATGCAGTCGCAATACGCAAGGACAATGCAAAAAAAATATTGAATTCAAAATTTTCTTAACTTTTCATTTGACAGAATTTGACATTTTTTTTCTTGATAAAAATGAATAAAAATCACAGATCGTTGTCTCGCATTTGAAGTCAAAAGGATGGGCGTGTTCGGGGTAGGCGGCGCAACATCGAGACTTCAGAGAGAGAGAAAAAGTAGCGAGAGAGAGAGAGGAATTGAACGCGGGGAGGCGTTTGACTCCGCCCAGAATCCCAACGGGTTTTCAAGTGTATATCGAATCCAGCGCGCGAGCGCAGTCGTCAAAGATTCACATTTATTTTATTTCTCTTTATGCCGATCGAAAACACAGAACTATAAATTTTCAACGGCCCGAGGAATTACTGACGCACGGAAGCAGCTATCCAGGCTTACACACAGGAATTAAAATCCTGTTCACGAAAATTGATTGTAGTTTTCAGAGGCAAATTTTTTTTGGGACCTTTTTTTATCTCGTCCCTTGTAGGTGCGCTGAGTCATTTAATTACAATGATAAAATATTCTGTACAATTTTCGTCAGTTGGGAGATTTTTTTTCGAGATTTAGGCGCGATTGTGTGACGAGTGGAGATGAGTGTTTTTTGGTATTTCAATTAATGGAAAAGTCAAAATTATATTAAAATTGTAGGCATTTTTCATCAATGATCATCATTATTTGTATTGGAATGAAAAAATCAATTCCCTTCGGTATTATTTTCGTTCATTCTGATGAATATGTCGTCGGTAATAAAGTAGATTTGAATAATTTGATAATGTTTAAAGAAAAACAACGTGAGGTTGAGGCTTGCAAGAAGTGCATTAATTCTAAAGACAGGAAAACTTAATCTTGAATTGAGGAAATTAAACAAAACATTCCGTATATAATTTATTTATTAATCAACTCCAGGCACGAGGCTGTCAATCTAGGGCATAGCAGATTTTGATAAGGGATAGTATTATCCAAATGTAAGGACAGTCCAAAAAGTGAAGAAGGACTGACTTCTTACTTGATGAAATTAATTCTCGTGATATACCTCTAAAACCAAACCTCTCGTCTTATTTTTAATTGTGAAGTAATTTTGCGTCTTTTTGACGATATCAATTGCAACCCTTAAAACCCCACCAAGAAAAATGATTAGTTGAGCTATTGAAATGTTCAATTTTAAAATTTTGCGCAACAATGAGAAAAATTTGCGAACAATTACCCCTGAGCTGATTTTTCTCCTCATGTGAGTGAAAACTCTTTGTGGATCACAAACAATATTCAAAATTTGCAAAATAATCGTCTCGCAATCGCCATATGGGCTTTTTATGTTCTTGTTATTCATCAAGTTTCGTCACCAGTTAATTGTTATTCTATGCAGCTAATAATTCATCAAGAAATTTCTAGTTTATTGAATTTATCCTCTTCGAGTGTACGTAATAAAATTAAATTCTATTTGAATAGTGGTTTTTCAACAGCGAGAGGAATGAATCTCGGTACCACCGGCGTTGAGAGAGGTAAACGCGTGAGATTTTTAGGTTCCCTCCTCGTTGCACGTTTTACAAGTCACATCGGCGGGAGGAAACAAGGTGGACTTGCCGCGCGGACACCGGTACACACTCATGAAAAAGGGGGAAAAGAAAAAGAGGGAAAAGAGGCTCCGTTGAGCCGATGAAAGAGCGAGCGAGAGGGGAAGAGAAAGGGAGATAGGATTGGAACGGCAAGGTCGGCGGTGATCAAAGACGCTGGGAGTCGTCCGAGTGTTATGTGCGTCCTTAGGTGTACATTTAGTTTCCACCTCTTTTTTTTAGGGAGACAGAGTCGAAATTATCCGAGTAATGTAAACAGAACAAATTGAAACTAAGTAAATATTCTATGATTTTGGTTTTTTCATTCTGAAGGGGGAAAATATTTTTTAAATTCTTCGGAGCATGCCAAATATCATGGAAATTACTGCTGCTTTTGAGGATATGTGTATCTTCTTACTTTCCGGAATTTTTACTAGAATTGAAATTAAATCAATATTTTATGATTTTGGTATTTGCATTCTGAAAGGGGGCAATATTTTTTAATTTCTTCGGAGCATTCAGAATATGATGAAAATTACTCCTGCTTTTGAGGATATGTGTATTTTGTAACTTTCCGGAGTTTTTACTAGAATTGAAATTAAATGAATATTCTAGGATTTTGGTTTTTTCATTCTGAAGCGGGACAATATTTCAACAATTTTTTAGAGCATGCAAAATATGATGAAAATTACTCCTGATTTTGAGGATATGTGTATTTTACTACTTTCCGGAAGTAGAACTCTCGTCGAAAATGCACCAATTTCAGTAAAAATTGGCATTTTTTTCAAGACAATTTTAATTGGATATTGGAAATTACCAGAAATCATGGGCAATAATATATAATCACCTCGGAATTACGAAAATAATATTTTTTCTAAAAGTTTTTGTCATACTAGTCACAAAATAATTAAACGTCGGAAGTAGAACTCTCGTCGAAAATGCACCAATTTCAGTAAAAATTGGCATTTTTTTTAAAGACAATTTTAATTGGATATTGGAAATTACCAGAAATTATGGGCAATAATACATAATCACCTCGGAATTACGCAAATAATATTTTTTCTAAAAGTTTTTGTCATACTAGTCACAAAATAATTAAACGTCTACATCTTGTGAAATGCCCGAGTCGAGGATTTGGTTCTGATTGGACGTACACAGGTCTTTCAAGATCTCTCCAGACCTAGATGGACCTGGTAAGTCCTAATCAGTTCTGCGACGTACTTTTCCAGAGACCATTCGAATCCTCAGTTCTTTTCGGTCCTGAGAAGTCCTCCCTCGATGCTACCGAGAACGCGTGATTTTACGAGCGGGTGAAGGGGAAGGCATGTATGCGGAGGGTTGAAATTTGTAGCCAACGAGGAGACAGGGTTGCAGAATATATTTTAGCCACCCTCATCTCCCCGTTTGCAGG